CTAGAAACTTCTCTTATTCTGGGGGTCACGATCTGCACATTCCTCACGTCTCCTTGTTGGCTCCCCACGACTGATGTCAGGGACCTGTCCTCATGGCTGTGCTGTCGCAGGTCAGCTGAGGTCAGTCAGGGCCAGCGGTGCAAATGAGCTCACTGGAGTCCTATGGGTCAGGCCACGGGGCAGTGGTGGCAGCAGACAGGTCTAGAAATGGCACTGCAGTCCCCTTGCAGAGGGGCTCCGAAGTGCCAAGAATGGAGCTGAGGAGGAAGGGCCACAACAGCAGACATCGGCCTTCAGAGACAACAGGGGTCCCCCGGCACTGGTGAGACTGCCCACCCAGAAGGCGGTTGCTGCCCAAGGCTGTCACTCTGCTGCGAATCGGCCACAGCTGGGGGTGCACTGGGAGCCAGCTCGGGCTGCTCTTGGATTCCAGCCCTCCCGACCACCCTCAGGCCTCAGCCTCCGGGCGCACGACTGCACTTGTCCTCCCTCCCTTCCGTCTGTAGCAGCTCCTACACTTTGCGACGCTCTCTCGGGGCAGCTTTCCCGAAGGCTGCCTTTCCTCTGGCAGAATCGTCTTTCTTCCCCTGATTACAGCACGCGTCATTTTATCTTGTCAGAGGGGCTGAGGGTATTTCTCTCCAGGGACCTCTGAACTCCTGGAGGCAAGGGACGGTCCCCAGGTCTTCTCCTCCGCCCGGCACACAGCAGAGAGGAACTAAAGGGCTGCTGAACTTGGCCGGACTCTGAGGAGCTCAGTCAACAGCCTCATCAGCGGTTGCAGCTAGACTCCTCCTACTCATCACGTCAGGGGAAGGCGAGCCCCACCACTCCCGGTGGCCACACTGATAATAATGACAGGCTAACGGTAATAATGATGGTCCTTTACAGGGAACATCGTGTGACACTTTCCAAAGCTCTTTGCAATCTGCTGTCTCATTTGTGTCTCACAGTACCCTCTGCGGTGGGTGAGGCCAGGTAGGCTCCGAGCCGGGCGCGATGGGGACGTGGTGACCACAGAGGCTAAATGAGTCTTCCCAGCCATTCTGCTATTAGGAGCTGGAGTTAGCAGCAAAAGCAGGTCTTCAGCCCACCAGAGCAGAGCTCAGCCATGAATGATAAAACGAAACGGCTAAAACTCACGATGGTAATGATAAGCCATGCCCTCCGAAACGGGAAACCAAAGCAACCAGCTTCTCTCTGGCCAAAACCGACGAGGCCCATTTCCAGACTCCGTAATAGCGAGGAACGAAAAGCAACCACCGAAACAGTCCACCAGGGAGGCGCCGGCTAGGAAGGCTGGGGTAAAGCCATTCCTGGAATACAAGCGGCCTTTACAAAGAATAACGCAAGTCTTTGAATGCTGATAAGGGAACATGCTTAAGACCTATTTTGGGGAAAAACAAAGCAAGAAGAGTTACAGAAGAGTACCTACAGGGTGATCTCATTCCTACAGAAGAGGGATCAGCAAAATACAGCCCACCGGTCGCTCGCTGCCTGGTTTTTGTAAATAAAGTTTTATTGGAACACGGCCGTGTCCATCTGTTGACATACTGTCTGGGGCTGCTTTAACACGCCAACAGGAGAGTTAAGCATGTCTGCGACATCAAAAATGACGATATTTTCATTTGAATTTAAAAGGGAGGGGTCATGAGGTGGCATAGGGCCAACACAGCTGGACCTACATAGAGGAGTCCTGGGTTCGCATCCCAGCTGTGCATACATGTGCCCGTGACCCTGACCAGCTGAGACAGGGATGGACGGTGGATTGAAGACCCAGTCGGGGATGTTTCCCCTACCCCCTAACCTCTCCCTCTTGCTCATGGAAGAAAATAAACTTGAGGGGCCAGTATGTGGTGTGGTGATGAAGGCACCGGATCTCACATGGCCAGCGCTGTGGTTCAAGTTCCAGACCCGGTGGCTTGAAAATCATACCAGGTGGGGACTAGCAGATGGCATTATGGTGGCATTGCTGGACTCCCATGTAGTCGACTGCAGTTCAAGTCCTGGACCTTGTGGCTTAAAACTCACACTGTGTGTGTACGTGTGTGTGTACGTGGCCAAGATCCCAAGAGGATCCTTGTACTACAGACCCCAACAGAGTGGCGGAGGCCAGGTGTGGGCTGTGCCCCCTCGGTCCCTTCTCCTAGGAACTGGCTTCTTTAGCTGCCTGGCTGGCTTAGATGGCAGCTGGAGAGGCCTTACCCGGGTTGTTTTAGCCCTGAGGACCCTCTGGATATGCTTTGGGCCAATGCCGAAAGCG